TATGTCATCCTAATAAAAGAGAGACAACCATAGTTTTCCAAAATAGGGGATTTTTCCTTGTCCAACAGCAGCTATGGGGAGTCCTGGGTTGGGGAACTTGGTGAGAGGATATCCCCATCTGCCTTGACAGTCCTATTTGCAAGCTCCTGAAGTCCGATGTTTGAGGCAGCTCTGCGCAGTCTCCTTGCAAGCCTCTCATCCCTATTTGCAAGCTCCTGAAGTCCGATGTTTGAGGCAGCTCTGCGCAGTCTCCTTGCAAGCCTCTCATCCGCAGCACCTGTCCAAAAGATGGTATATCTCCCAATATTAGAAGCAATATGAAGTTATAGAGTTATTTTTTCCTCCTCCTCTCTCCTTTTTTTTTTCAATGAAAAACTTTATTTCACTACTTTATTTCTCCTCTTTGTTGCGTGACAATATCAATTTTGTTTGTAAGTTCATTTTTAAAATATTGAAGAAGTAAGGACATTCCTATGCGAAAACAATAAGACAAAAACAATAAAATTAAACACCTAGAAAATGCTATGGCTGACATTCTACTTTATAATTTTCGAATAAAGTAGTGATTACTGTAAAAGTTATACTATTCTAGTTAGGGCTGTCCATCCGGGCCGGCCCGGCCCGGCCCGGCCCGGAAAACCGGGCCCGGGTCGGGCAAAACCCAAGCCCGGACCCGGGCCCGGGTGGTCCGGGCCGGGCCCGGGCCCGGGCCCGGGCCTGAGCGGGCCGGACACCGGGCCGGCCCGGTTTGTTTTTTTTTTTAAATTTTGTTTTTTTTTATTTTTTTAAATTTTAACAAAACCATAAATTATAAATTATTATAAAAAATGTCATAAATTTTATTAATAACTTGAAATGAAATGACATAAATTACAAGTACAAAAAATGATAAAAATAACTTCTTTATTAATAATCGGTAAATCCTTTACAAGTATAAATTTATTTCGAAATTCGTCGCATCACAATAGATGAGTACATCCCAACTAGGTTGGCACCTACTCACCCATATCACTATCATTTGCAACTTTTTTCGAAATAATTTAATTCAAATTTAAAGCTAAGAAATAAAAATTACAATTTTATGAATATTATCTAATCATTATATCTATCTGCTAGTCCCAACTCTTCAAATTTATCTTCAATCATAGCAATCCGTTCGATGCCTTGTGTTCGCTTCTCGTATCTCCACCAATCCTGTAAGCACATCACCGCTTGTACAGTATACGGATCTAAGCATGTCCTGTGGTCGTCGATCAAACGTCCTGCTGTGCTGAAAGCGGATTCCGAGGCTACAGTCGAAACCTGCACTGATAGTAAGTCACGAACCATGGTGGAAAGTATAGGATATGAAACTGATCCATATACTTTCCACCATTGCAAAATATCTAAAGCATTTCCTTGACATCTAACTAAAGAAGCAGAAAAATATTCATCTATTTCAGAAACATCTAATCCTGATGAAGTTACAGATCCACCAGTTAGTTCAGCTACCATTGCATACCTATCAAAAGTTACACTTTTACCTCGACCTGTGCTCGAAGCTGAAGGTGCCGAAGCTGAAGACTGTTGTGTAGCTACACCATATCTAGCTGCATACTCATCATATAAGGTTTGAAAATAATTTCTAATAGCTAAATAATGAGTAGTAGCAGTAAGGGTGGATCCATCATCTAAGTCTATAATCTGTCCACCATACAATGATTGTAACAAACTTCGAAGGCCAATTTCCTTCAAGCATGGATCAATAAGAACACCAATACCAAAAATATGAGGAATAGGCCTAAAATACTTATTAAATTTACTCTCCATTTCAAAAATTATACTTCCAAAAATATCATCCATACGATATTTTGTAAAAAAATTTTGAATATTTAAAATTTGTAAAGCAGCTAAAGTAATAGTTGGATAATAACAACCAGATAATAACATAGTAGCATCATAAAAAACTTGTAACATCTCATTTAATTTACATATAACTGTCCATTCATCTTCAGTTATTCCATAAGCACTACCAGAGCTAGAACTAGAAGCATAAAAATTTATAAAATCATTTATAATTTCTTTATATTCTATTGCTACAGATAACATTGCATAGGTGGAATTCCACCTATGGTCAACATCTTTTGGAATTAGTCTAGGCTTATAATTTTTTCTTTTACAACATTGTTTCCATCTTTTAATTCTCATTTCAGAAGCATTATGCATATTAGTAACTGTTCTAACTTTTTCTATCATGGGTTTAATTTCAGAAAATGCACTTTGAACAATTAAATTTAAAATATGACAGATACATCTAACATGAAAAAGCTCACCATGACATGGCAATGACAAAGTTATTTTCAGAAAATCAACAGCTACATTATTATTACTTGCATTATCTAGTGAAAGAGTAAATATTCTTTGATCAATTTCTAGTTTCATAAGTTCTTCAACAATTAAATTTGCAACATTAATACCAGTGTGTGACTCTTCAATTGCAATAAAAGAAACAACTCTTTTAAACATTTTCCAACTTTCATCAATCCAGTGTGCTGTTATACATAAATAACCAGTTTGCACTCTAGATGACCAAATATCAGAAGTTAAAGAAAATTTGCAGTTTAAATTTTTAAAATAAGAAATTATTTTTCCCTGTTCCTCAACATAATATTTTAAAATATCACGTTGACAGGTTTGACGAGAAAATTTTGTAAATGCAGGATAAAAACCATCTCTAAATAAATCTTCAAATTCATCATCTTCTACTAATTTAAAAGGAAGGTTTTTAAGAACAATAAACCTGATTACGCATTTCCGGGCTCGGGCAGCGTCATAATTCCAACTGCCGAGGGTACCTGAAGAGGATGATTGGGAAAGCATAGACTGCCGGATATCACCTTGTAGATTTTGGCCTTTGTTGTGTTTTTCAATATGCCGTTTGAGATGGTTGGTGCCGCTCTTATGATGAGCTTTGAATATCTGGCCGCACAACGCACATTTCGCATTCTGAGAGATGATCCTACCGTGTTCATCCTTGGTGACGTCTATCTTCTCAAAAAAATTCCATACATCAGACCTCGGCCTTTTTGGAGCTCTTGGTGCCGTAGATTCGTCGCCACCAGATTCAGGATTAACACCGGTAGGATGAGGAGTTGTTGTAGGAGGACTCATCTCTGGATCGGTAGGAGTTGCATGTTGCTCTTCATAATCAGACCCAGAAGCCATTTGTTGGAAGTATTAGAAAATACAAAAGATTATAGGATAGTATATTAGTATGAGATAGTATAAGATTGTATAAGAGAGTAGTAGAGAGAGAAATAGATGAGTTTTGTTGTGAGAAAATGAATTGAAACCCCCCCTCTATTTATAGAAGCAGCCCCCTAGGTAAATGACCAAAAAACCCTCGAAAAATAGCCGTTTTTTGACCGTTTTAAGGGGCAAAACGGTCAAAAGACCAAATCTGGCCGTTAGGCCAGATTTGGCCCGGGCCGGGCTGGGCAACGGTCACCTTTGTGACCGTTATGGCCGGGCCGGGCCGGTGCCGGCCTGCCGGACCGGGATCAACGGTCACGTTTGTGACCGTTATTGACCGGGCGGGCCGGCCCGGCCATTCAAGCTACAGTGCCTTTTTCGGCACTGTTCCGGCCCGGACTGGGACTCGCCAACGCACGGCCGCGGCCCGGACCCGGGTTTTGCCCGGGTTTCCGGGCCCGGGCCCGGGCACGACCGGGCCGGACCCGGGCCGGACACCGGGCCGGGCCCGGGCTCCGGGCTTTTTGGACACCCCTAATTCTAGTACTACTACAAAAAAAATGAGATTTTTTCCCTTATAAATTGCAAATAGATATTATAAGTTGCTATGGACCCTTTTTTTGTGTGTTTAGGGGCTGTTTGGTTCGTTTCCTAGATATAAGGAAATGCATTTTCATGTACAAAAATATAAGTTTTGAGTTTTCTAAACTTTTCCAAGAAATATATTGTTTCGTTTTGGTTCGCAAAAAAAAATGGTGGGAAACCAATGTATTTATTTTTCTTGTGTTTGGTTCGCATGTAAAAAAAGGGAAAACTTTTGTTTATATGGCAAAAAGCCGATGTGACTGCAGTTTTCGTCGATTTCACGAGGTTGAGGAAGGAATTGGAGGAGAGAAAAAATCTGATGTGGCGGCGATTTTCACCGAGTTTCCCTTCTTCAACCCTAGCGAACCAAAGATGGAAAAAAAAACCGACGGAAAGCTTATATCCTACGTTGCCACAAAAAATCTGATGTGGAAGCGGTGTAAAACTTTTCCACCGAGTTAAAAAACGAACCAAACAGCCCCTTAGTAAAAACAGTAGAAATCTTAGTTATACTATTCTAGTACTACTAAAAAAATGAGATTTTTTCCCTTATAAATTGCAAATAGATATTATAAGTTGCTATGGACCTTACTTTTTTTGTGTTTGGTAAAAACAGTAGAAATCTTGTAATACACATAGGATTTCCGGTCCTTTCGAATAGATATTATTTAAACTTTAATGACTAAAGGCATTTGCTAACACATTGTTAGGTTACAAGTCTACAGCCCATTCAAATGTTACCACCTTCTTACCGTTGTCATTTCCTCATCAAAACTTTTTCCTCTTCCAAGTAAACTATTCTTTTTTTTCTTTTTCTTTTTTTTGAAAAGAAGCAAACTATTCTTACTATGCCAATATATATGACGCATGCATGACATCAATAACCATTACATGCACCAATCATAGTAAAATGATAAATACTTGAATTGAATATACTAATTCCGAAAACGGCAAGCATTTTAATTCCGAATAACTCCAAATACCCCCCCTATTTATTCCCAACCTTTTAATTCGAACATTTCTTCCTTAAATACCCGAAGAGCCTTACAACAACAGCTAATTTCTTGGCGATATTGACTAGGTAATTACTCCCACTCTCCAAAAATAAAAATAAAAATAAAAAAAAAATAAAAAAAAAATAAAAGGATAAAAATCCCCCAGCTCTCTCTATTTAAATGCACACAATCTCAAGTTCCCAACTCAACTCAAGCCCTTGTGACTCTCACAAAAAACGAAGTCATGTCTTCTAAGGCTATCACTCTTTTGCTCATTGCTCTTCTCTTCTCTCTGTCCTTAGCTCAAGCTGCTAGGCCCCTGCAGCCAGCTGACAGTACCAAGGTACATATCTAAATTCTCCCTTTCATTTATTGGGGTTTTTTGGATTTCTTTGAGGTTTAAACTTTAATTTTCCTGTTGATCTTAGAGTGTTCATGTGATCCCTGAGAAAGTTCATGATGAAGATTGTGAAGGAGTTGGGGAAGAAGAATGCTTGATGAGGAGGACTCTCACTGCTCACGTTGATTACATCTACACCCAAGATCATAATCCATGATCAATTAGGTTTTATAAACAATGGGGTTTTTGCTTAAGCTGTTGTTATTTCTGTTAACCCCTCTGGTGATTTAGTAATTATAATTATGATAATAATGGGATAGATATTTACTTGTGATGGTTAACTCGGTTTTGGTTTATGTACATGTGTGCGGATTTCTTCTTCTTCTTCTTGCTTACGTTTGGTGGTTTGTAACGTTCTGTTTCCTGTGGGCTTTTTGTGTGTTGTCCTTTTGTATTCTTTCAAAAGGAGTATATATTTTATTTTGTTCATATTTTGAGTCTGATTGATAGATAGTCACCGAACGGGTCAAATAGGAATTTCTATGATTGATGTTTACCAAATTTATGTCTTCCATGTGTTGTTGTTAGACTAGTTTTATAATTTGTTTAAAATTTTATATACTAATTGTCAAGAGAATAACTAATTATAATCATTATTACTGTCAGATAATTAATAAAATGCTTATTTCTTAATTACATCATAACCATATGTTATTTTAGTATATAACTATAACAGTTATAACTCAATTTTTATCATAATTTTAAAAGTTTGATGCAACAAAAAGGATTTTAGCATTGTATTCAAAGAACTCAGGTTCAAATTTTAATACTCGTGTAGTCAAAAGCATGTTTAAAAATATTCCGTTTCGCGAATGCTTACTAGCAAGTGCTTGGGAGATAACAAAATTGGAACTCTTAACCACCACCGCAACTCTAGAGTTTTTACGTAATGGAAGAGACTGTTAACAAATTTTTTTTCAGAATTAAATAACAAGTTTAGGTAATATTAAACGAATGTGATTTAACATGTATTCCATGACATTAATACGTACTTAGAATGACAATCATAATTGTCCCAAATATAAATTGACCATCGATGTGAAAACTTATAATTCTCTTGTCGAACAGAGAATCAAAATCAAACAATTTCTATCCACATGCAAGCATGTGCTCTTATGTATGCCATCCGTTGGGAATGCAAATAAGTACGACGGCTATCAATCATGTTAACAATTCGAATCAGGACTCTCTACAACACTCATAGACATACATATGATGAGGTCTCTGACTTCGAAATGGAATTGGTTGGTGAGGAGAATGTTAGGGTGTCAAATATTTAATGTCCCCAAAATTTTTATAGTTCTCAAAATCTAATAATTGACTTTATGAGATTCTGCAGCCGTGCTTGCAGTTGTATTTGGTTGTAAGTGAACCTGAGATAAGAGGCATGAGTGTGATTACTGTATGTAATTCCTTTAGTTGGCAATGAAAGTAATCTTATTTTTTATTGTATTTGAACTTGATCTACGTATTAATATATATATATGAGAAAAATGGGTATGCTTGACATATAGAGTGGAGGGGAATATGACACATTACTGCCAAACACAAAAGCTTTATATATACACACACACCTTTCAAAGATTAATTTAATATATAGCAGAATACATTAGCAAGTCGTTAATCCTGTTTCTCATCTGTTTGCAATACGAATGGCAAAAAAATGAGTGCTTAATTTATCCACTATAACATCGCTCCCTATTCCTCACAGATATAGTGACTTTCCTTCAGCGCGATTTATTCGAAACGAGCGATGAGCTTATCTGATTAATTTATACTCTATTTAGTGCATGATTCTTTCTTGTTCATCAATGCATCTGAGATATCTGTAAGAGGTGATGGGTATATGATTCTCTTCTTTTGTTTACCAATTCAAATCAAATCCTTTCTAGTTCGTTTTCCTTTTATTATTTCGTACCGTACTGTATTTAGGGCATTAACTGGAAATGTTAACAAGTATGTTAACAACATGCATAAGTTATATCGACACATTTACAATGAAGAGTTAGACTATAATGCAAGCAATTATTTATATGATAACATTGAAAAAATATATTAAAAAGGGAAGAAAATAGATTTTTTTTGGCAGGAACTTTGCAGAGGTTCCCATGCAAACCAAATTATTATTTATTTATAGGAAAAGGAAAATACATAACGAGGACAGTGGCGTAGCCAAGATTATTTTTTGCCCTGTGCGAAAAATAAGGGTGGTCTGCAAGTATGTCCACAAAGGTGTTCTCGGCGGCGGATTCGACCTTCTGTTGCTTGATGGAATGTACAACCAGCCTCCTAACGGGGCGACAATGAGATTTTTTGAGGGCGCAGTGAGTACGAGCAGTGTTGTGTTGCCGAAGGCCACATCGATGCTGGCACTACCAGCGCCTCCGAGAGCAAGCGGAGGAGGGGAGGTTGCAGGTGGAGACCCGTTTGCAGAATCGGTGTGGGCCTGTGGCCTTAGGCCACTTTCTTGCCCAGGGCAAGCCTACCCAGGCTACGCCACTGACGGGGGCCATACGAGTGAAACTCTATAGTAGGAGAAAAATACTCCCATAATTAAAAAAGGTAGGAACTTGAAGTACAATCATTTACGCCTGTCCTTCTTCCTCTTGTGCGGGAGGCCCGACCTGTCATCAAATAAAGTGAGCCTGACATTTTTGAAAGATCCGCTTCAGAAGTAAAAAAAGCCGGAGAGACGAAAATCAAGTGATGTAAGCTGCCAATATCGAGTTTAGTTCTCCGCAAATGTGTTCAATGTCGAAAAGACGTGGAAGATAACAATTGCGCGTCATATACTTCCATAAAAAGCGGTATTGCCACTAACTGATTTCAACCGTATAACACGGAAATCAACCAACTTCAATTTCAACCTGAGAGATACCCGCATCTCTACACAAACAATATCTATACATACGTTGAAAATCATATATTGTGGAGCTAGGCTAGGTGGATATATATACATGTAACCGTCTTTAATGCACAATAAAGCTAAGGGGCTGTTTGGTTCCCAGTTTTTGAGGAAAATGCTCTCTTGAAAGCCTGCCAAAAGTGTCAAAAGTGACACTTTTTGGCAGGCTTTCAGCCAAAATCTTCTTTTTTAGAGGTGGTTTTGGCTGAAAGCCTGCCAAAAAGTGGCATTTTTGTCACTTTTGGCAGGCTTTCAAGAGAGTCTTTCCCTTAAAAACAGTGAACCAAACAGCCCCTTAAACGTTTTAGCTTCACGCGTAACCGTCTTTAATTAATGCAGCCCGCTCCGGCCCAGGGCTCCCAATCACAGTTCGATCTTCCTGTTCTAGAATCAAACAAACCTCCTCCGGCCCTTAATTTTCTCACGACTTGAGGAAAAGAGACCTCCATATATAGCTGATGAATTTTGTTGCTAGTGAGTTTATACGCAATAATGCATGTGATCGATAGAATCTTCTTCGCTTCTGCCGCTCGTTCCCCATTTGGTCTAAAGGATCTCTGTCGTCCCGGATAAAAGGGCATTGCTTGACCTTCTTTCGATTCGATGCTTGGATTTTAAACAAGCAACAATATAGAGTGGTGGAATTTGATTGCTAGCTTTCACAAATTCCAATTTAGCAGTCAAACAAGAGAAATTGGTTGCCAAAGGAATTGAGAGCCACGACCTTAACAAAAAGTAAAGTAACAGAAAGCAAATTAACATCAGTACCGATCGACGACCTTATCACATCATGCTTATGTGGTATAGTTTCACACGATGAAATAGGAACGTACAAGGAAAAAACCAATTGATGGCATTGACAAACAAGAATCGGTGCAAGTAATTTTCTTTGAAGGTTTGTCCTGAAAGAAAACAAATAATTATATATATAGCATATTGACTAGTAATATCGATCCAGACAAATATTGTATAATAGTAACTAGCTTCCGAGCTATACTGCGAAAAGATGAACTTAAATAGAAAGTTGGAATTAACGCTAGAGCTTCGGTCAACTAGTGAAACATGTTTTTCTTATGATATCGTTTAAAAGAAAGAGTTAATTGTAGATACATCCTCTCTCCAGTATATATATAGAGTGGTATTTGCCATTTGTATCTAGCTCCTAAAATATATATTATAGCAGCATTTATACCTTTTGATTCTTAGACGCCATTACTTTTCTTTAATTCCTCAATTTAGAAGGCAATTTATATAGTCTTTTTTTAAATTAGATCAAGGTTCGATAAAAGATAATTTATCGCTACACGATGAGATGTTTGATCAAACAGGAGGCGAGTTTTTTTTCTTTTTAGTTAGAGTTTGGAGGTTGTAAGTGCTATTAAAATCGTTTAGGAGCCTTCCACTACCAGTATATGAGATCTATATATGCAATAAATAAAGGTTATGGCGATGTACCCGAAAGATGTTGAAGCTTGGAAAGAGGCGAGGCAAGTGGCTGGAAAATTTTCAATGTAGTTAGGTCGGTGAACTTTCAATTAGATGAAAATGACCCACCAAGAAGTACCACCACATTCCTCGACATAGACGCTTATCATTGGAGCTCTGCCGATCCCTCATATGCACTGCCTAATTTAGCTATAGAATTTTAATTCCACAGTATTTTCCCTGCCAAATCTTCGTCCTCAAGCCAATCACAACATCAGATTCAATGATCTAGTGCCATACGAGAAAATTTTGCAATAATTAAACAAAACCTTACGAGCGATTACTACACAATTAATTAACCAAGAATAATCAAATTCTCAACATCATTTTCACAAGCAAAAGCTTAGTGTGAACAAAAACTTTTGAAGTCTGAAACCATTCGGTAATGGTCACGTTTACCCATTAACTAGAGATCAAGATTGATTTTGATGTCATATAATCCATCTGACTTTGTTCGTACACCTGTCTTATATATGTGATGGTATTAAGGATGGGGAAGGTTAAGAGTTTAAGACAAACAGAAAACCCAATAATTCCGAAGATAAAAGAAATTAAAATATCTATTGTCGGTTTGTTTTGATCTAAAAGGGGTCGACATAAGAATCTACAAGCATAACATGCATTATCAAAATTAATTATGATGAAAATACAAAATGTATGCTGTAGTTGAGTGGTGATGTGCATCACTGTCAAGACCGGAGATAAGGGTGTGAATGTGCGAACATGTCAAAGCGAATCAATTCAGCACCTCTGCGGACTACTGATTTCAAATTGTGTATTTGATGCCACGAAAATGAAATAAAATATGACTTTTACTGATATTTGCTACCCTAAGTATTGAAAAAAGTTCAATCAACCGTTCTGCTATAATTTCTTCAAAATACAGTCATTTGCTTGAAATTCGTCTCTGTGAACGGCCCACGGCCCCGTGCGAGACGGCACACATGCGAGACAGGTTAACCTGTCTCGTACGTCTCTGACTTGAGGCCGCATGCGGTTTTTTAAGGCCCGGTTCAGATTTTCAGTTTAGTATAAATAG